TATGTCTCTGCCTCAAAATATTTTAGAAAAAACAAACTTCTTCAATGATAAGGCGTCAAAGGCTGAAAAGTGTCAAGAAGTTTGAGTGGTTGATATCAATCATTTACTACTTAAATTTTGTGATCCAATTGTTTCATTAATTTGAAAAAAATTGATTGTGGCGTCCAAACACAATTTTAAAGAGAAGTGAAATCCTGGTATTTTTTTTTTATTCAATTAGATTTTTAAGAGGAAATACAAAAAAGATGAAAATATAATTAAATGTAGAGAGTAGTGTAGTAGGTAAATTTTTCAAACTTGACACTTTTCTTGAGCATGTGTAAGTGTGTATAAGACACTGGCGAGTTGATATGGCATGTGATCATAAGTAATGTAAAGAAAACAGGAAACCTGTACTCAATGATAATGAAATTTTATTTATAACTTTATTTATGAACATTATTAATTGTTTGTTAACTTCCGCGGTTTGCAGCAACTATCGTAGTTTTAACAACTTATCTAAATTCAGGCGGGGATCCAGCAGAAAAACTGACTGTGGCGCAGTTCATAATTAACGATTTAATGGGGAGAGAAGGTAAATATTTCTTCACAAAATTTTTTAGTTGGAACCTCAAAACATTGTTACTTGTATAAACAAAATAAGTTTGGAAAGTGTGTTTTGAAATAATCGTCTCCAGGCACTTTTACTGGTTTTGCACAATGTAATAAAATGATTTTTAAAGGATGGGAATTTCGATACACAAAACAAGAGAAGCGCATCACAACAAAGCTTAACATACGGACTGCCATTATGATAATCTCTTTAACTTATTTTAAAGTAATCCGGACTTCCCTACAGTATCATATAACAAGATTAAGTAGATAGTATGCCTGAACAGCAAAATGAAGTGACTGAGGCAAGTATGAATATCAAGGATATAACTGAAATGAGTAATTCTTAGCCACATTCTCCACTTTTCAGAAACTGCAGTAATTTTTATAGCATTTTATAAGAATTTTCAAAGGAGTTTGAAACAGGTGAGCTGCATCATTATGTCCCAGGCAAATGCAATTTTAAATGAAATGAACACTCTAATTACATGGACTGGATGTTATAATAATAACTAGAATTTAATTTTGTAATGTTAGACAATTCAAGACTGGTGAGGTATCTGAAGTAAGCAAACAGACACTCTTTCCAAGCAAATGTAAGAGAACATGCACTGAAGAGACCACACCCACTAGCTAATGTACAAAAAGGCATTTAGTATTTAGGACTCAATGACTATTTCGTGAAAATTTGTTCATTATTTATAAACAAATGTTTGAGTAGAATGTCAGCTTTCATGTACTGCAATGTAATTTTGTTCTTATCTTTAAAAAAAACACACTTAAATTATACTATATCTGAAAAAGAATTTTTCTTGTGTGAGATTTAAGAAAATAGCTACCTGAAGATGTTTCCTTTTCAAAGTGCTCTTTTCTTTATTTTCATGTACGTAAAATTTTTATGCTTTATCAAATAACTACTTATTGACTAAAACAAATCGTAATAAGATCAAAAAGGAAAGCCAAAATGCTGTAAATTTGCTTATATAAAAATTGAGCTTTGACCATCATAGTTATAGTTGCAATACTACGGGCAGCTGAATTTGAGACTATAAATCATGGAATTGTTTAAATAAGCAACTAAGTATGACTCTGAGGACTTGGGAGACATAATGATTCGTGAACAACATTATTTTGTTTCGTCCCCCTTAACTAGGGGCCAGTTATTTAAATAGCAACTTCATTAGCAGTAGGTTAACATATAATGCAATGAAACTTTGTCTGCATGAGGTTTGTCAGCATGAGGACGTATGGAGGGAAATGGCAGGTAGAATTGAGCAACATGCACATGAATGAAAACACCATAAACTTGAACTTTAATTAACGATTGGTCATTGTATAGAACCTTATAATAAAGTAAAATATTTCATTTCACATTCAACCAACAATAAATTAATGAGCAGAAAACTTTGTTTAAATGATAACAGTTTTTAAGAAAAAGTTTATGTATCACTAACATTGCAAATGCTGCCGTATGGATATTGAAAAACAAATAGCCAATTAGTACGTATATTTTAATCCCAGCTGTCAAAAGCAAATTTAATATATGTGGTTTAAACATTCATACCAAACAGGAACATTATGTATGGCTATTTTAAATTTCAATAAGAGCTGTATTTTATAAATTTCCGATGTTTGCAGTATGTTATCGCCAGTAGAGCTTATACACCACAGCTTTTCTTGGCTGGTTATTTCCTTCCAATCACATTGTTGATACAACAGACACTGAAATATTTTTGCTTAGAATTTCTAGTTGTGATTATAAAGTTTCCCATTGCTTTCCAATAACACCAATCTTTTTACATTCTTCTATCAAACAGTGAACAGAAATAGCAATAGCTTTTGGCTTGTGATTTTATAATCCTGTGAAGAAGATAAGTATCGAAGATTTGAAGTTTATAGTTTATCACTTGTGTTGCGCAATCAAAATCTATCCACCTTGGCTCACGTGACTACAGCTCGCTCTGTGATTGGTTTGCAGCCCTGCACCGTGGCTGAAGATTACTATATTTAGCAGCAACTGCGAAACTTTTTACATTTTGACCGTGGCAAGTTAAAGCTGTGATCGCAGCTTCGAAGATACGAACCTTTTCCGAGCAAACTCGGTAAAATTCGGCATGCTTTCGCCAGTTTAACAGCTCAGCGTTTAACCGTAAAATTTTACAAAAAGGCAAGAGGTTTATTTTGAAGTTTTCGTGCTTTTTTCAAAAACCATATCAAAAAGACAGTAAATTATAAAAAATATAAATCTAATTTCTTCAATTAAAGACACATTGTTGGTCAATTTGCTGTATTTCAAGTAAATACAGCAGAATTCATAATCTTATTCATAAAATATAATCTCAAAAGTTTGAAAATTCTAACCGTGGCTCGAGCCACTTTCATACAGTCTGGATCCGCGCCTGAAATTAACTATTTTTCAACACTGCAAATACTTGAGATTCGCAATAAAATACAATGCTACATACATTTCAAAATGCTTTAATTCAGTTAATCATTTATATAGTATGTTGAAATGAGTTTTTTATGATCAATGTAAATGTTTACTGGCAAAAACGTAATACAAAGTTCAATGCATATAATGTCTTTACCGCCTTTTCATGGATTACTATTTTACTGATTGTCGCTTGTCAATCTTCAGGAAAAATAAAACCAGATCTCATACTGACATAACCAGCACGATTATACAGTTTTGCCACAAAACAAGTTCTTTTAAACATCCTGCTAACCAGAAGATTTCCAAAGTGAAAAGACTTTAGAATCAACATTGCAAAAATACACTTGCATACTAGCCACGTCTCTGAGTCAAACACATTCGTTATATTGTTGAGTTAATTATAACTTGAAAACATCTATTTATTTAACATCTATTCATATGTTCTGGCGGACATTTGTTTCTGCAAAAAATTTAAACTTAGAAAAAGAAACTTCAGAAACATTGGAGGTTTTCAAACTTGTTTTTCATATTTATAGAGCACTAATTCTGCAAGGATAGCATGCTGGCCAAAGATAACAAATTGATACAAACAAACAAAAACAAAAACACATTTCCATCGCTGTAACAATGTATCAAATAATTTGATTAAAATATTTCTTAGGTAGAACATTGATTCAGCATTGAATGCTATGCAAAGACCATAAATTGATATAAAACAAGTGCTTTTACACCCAAAAAGGACAATTCAATTAATTTTATCAAAATATGATTACTGGCTGTTTTCACTGTAAGGTCAAATATATATTCTTTAAGCATGCTTAATGTAATTATAAAATTAATTTATATAATAAACAGTTGAATTTATATCTAATGTCAGTATGTTTATCATTCCCACTTTTCAAAGCTTTAAGATACTTCGCACCTTACTTTGTTATTTTAATTTGACCAATAAACAGTTTAATATCTTTACAATTCTCACTTTTCAAAGCATTACTAAGAGATTTTGCACCTTTATGACCTATATCGTTATTTTCTATAGACAATTTAATAAGTTTACAATTCTCAGTTTTCAAAGCTTCACTAAGAGATTTTGCACCTTCATCACCTATCTTGTTAGAAGAAAGATCCAATTCAGTAAGTTTACAATTCTCACTTCTCAAAGCTTCACTAAGAGATTTTGCACCTCCATCACCTATATTGTTATCAGAAAGAGAAAATTTACTAAATATACAATTCTCACTTTTTAAAGCTTCACTAAGAGATTTTGCACCTTCATCACCTATACTGTTATGATAAAGAGACAATTTAGTAAATTTACAATTCTCAGTTTTCAAAGCTTCACTAAGAGATTTTGCACCTTCATCACCTATCTTGTTAGAAGAAAGATCCAATTCAGTAAGTTTACAATTCTCACTTCTCAAAGCTTCACTAAGAGATATTGCACCTCCATCACCTATATTGTTATCAGAAAGAGAAAATTTACTAAATTTACAATTCTCACTTTTTAAAGCTTCACTAAGAGATTTTGCACCTTCATCACCTATACTGTTATGATAAAGAGACAATTTAGTAAGCTTACAATTCTCACTTTTCAAAGCTTCACTAAGAGCTTTTGCACCTTTATCACCTATACTGTTATGAGAAAGATCCAATTCAGTAAGTTTACAATTCTCACTTTTCAAAGCTTCACTAAGAGATTTTGCACCTTCATCACCTATACTGTTATGATAAAGAGACAATTTAGTAAGTTTACAATTTTCACTTTTCAAAGCTTCACTAAGAGATTTTGCACCTTCATCACCTATACTGTTATGAGAAAGATCCAATTCAGTAAGCTTACAATTCTCACTTTTCAAAGCTTCACTAAGAGATTTTGCACCTTCATCACCTATCTTGTTATGAGAAAGACCCATTTCAGTAAGTTTACAATTCTCACTTTTCAAAGCTTCACTAAGAGATTTTGCACCTTCATCACCTATACTGTTATGATAAAGAGACAATTTAGTAAGTTTACAATTTTCACTTTTCAAAGCTTCACTAAGAGATTTTGCACCTTCATCACCTATACTGTTATGAGAAAGATCCAATTCAGTAAGCTTACAGTTCTCACTTTTAAAAGCTTCACTAAGAGATTTTGCACCTTCATCACCTATCTTGTTAAGAGAAAGACCCATTTCAGTAAGTTTACAATTCTCACTTTTTAAAGCTTCACTAAGAGATTTTGCACCTTCATCACATATATTGTTACCAAGAAGAACCATATCAGTAAGCTTACAATTCTCCCTTTTCAAAGCTTCACTAAGAAATTTTGCACCTTCATCACCTATTTTGTTAAAAGAAAGATCAAATTCAGTAAGCTTACAATTCTTACTTTTCAAAGCTTCACTAAGAGATTTTGCACCTCCATCACCTATCTTGTTACTATCAAGAGATAATTCCGTAAGTTTACAATTCTCACTTTTCAAAGCTTCACTAAGAGATTTTGCACCCTCATCACCTACTTTGTTTCTATTAAGAGCCAATTCAGTAAGCTTACAATTCTCCCTTTTCAAAGCTTCACTAAGAAATTTTGCACCCTCATCACCTATATTGTTCAAAGAAAGAGCCAATTCAGTAAGTTTACAATTCTCCCTTTTCAAAGCTTCACTAAGAAATTTTGCACCTTCATCACCTATTTTGTTAAAAGAAAGAGCCAATTCAGTAAGTTTACAATTCTCCCTTTTCAAAGCTTCACTAAAAAATTTTGCACCCTCCTCACCTATTTTGTTAAAAGAAAGAGCCAATTCAGTAAGTTTACAATTCTCACTTTTTAAAGCTTCGCTAAGAGATTTTGCACCCTCATTACCCAAATTGCCATCATGTAGATATAATTTAGTGAGGCTACAATTCTCACTTTTCAAAGCTTCAATAAGAGATTTTGCACCCTCATCACTTGTTTTGTTAAAAGAAAGAGCCAATTCAGTAAGTTTACAATTCTCACTTTTCAAAGCTTCGCCAAGAGATTTTGCACCCTCATGACCCAAATTGCTATCACATAGATATAATTTAGTGAGGCTACAATTCTCACTTTTCAAAGCTTCACTAAGAGATTTTGCACCCTCATCACTTGTTTTGTTAAAAGAAAGAGCCAATTCAGTAAGTTTACAATTCTCACTTTTCAAAGCTTCGCTATAAGATTTGGCACCTTCATCACCCAAATTGCTATATTTTAGATTCAATTCAGTGAGTTTACAATTCTCACTTTTTAAAGCTTCACTAAGAGATTTTGCACCCTCTTCACCTATATTGTTAAAAGAAAGAGCCAATTCAGTAAGTTTACAATTCTCCCTTTTCAAAGCTTCACTAAGAAATTTTGCACCTTCATCACCTATACTGTTATGAGAAAGATCCAATTCAGTAAACTTACAATTCTCACTTTTTAAAGCTTCACTAAGAGATTTTGCACCTCCATCACCTATCTTGTTAGAAGAAAGAGAAAATTTACTAAATTTACAATTCTCACTTTTTAAAGCTTCACTAAGAGATTTTGCACCTTCATCACCTATATTGTTACCACAAAGAGCCATATCAGTAAGCTTACAATTCTCCCTTTTCAAAGCTTCACTAAGAAATTTCGCACCCTCATCACCTATTTTGTTATAAGAAAGAGCCAATTCAGTAAGTTTACAATTCTCACTTTTTAAAGCTTCGCTAAGAGATTTTGCACCCTCATGACCCAAATTGTTTTCACCTAGATCTAATTTAGTAAGGCTACAATTCTCACTTTTCAAAGCTTCACTAAGAGATTTTGCACCCTCATCACCTGTTTTGTTAAAAGAAAGAGCCAATTCAGTAAGTTTACAATTCTCACTTTTCAAAGCTTCGCTAAGAGATTTGGCACCTTCATCACCCAATTTGCTATATATTAGATTCAATTCAGTGAGTTTACAATTCTCACTTTTCAAAGCTTCACTAAGAGATTTTGCACCCTCTTCACCTATATTGTTAAACGAAAGAGCCAATTCAGTAAGTTTACAATTCTCACTTTTCAAAGCTTCACTAAGAGATTTTGCACCTTCATAACCTATATTGTTGTAATTAAGAGACAATTTAGTAAGTTTACAATTCTCACTTTTCAAAGCTTCACTAAGTGATTTTGCACCCTCAGGACCCAAATTGTTTTCACTTAGTTTAAATTCAGTGAGGTTACAATTCTCACTTTTCAAAGCTTCACTAAGAGATTTTGCACCCTCTTCACCTATATTGTTAAACGAAAGAGCCAATTCAGTAAGTTTACAATTCTCACTTTTCAAAGCTTCACTAAGAGATTTTGCACCTTTAGCACCTATTTTGTTATAATTAAGAGACAATTTAGTAAGTTTACAATTCTCACTTTTTAAAGCTTCGCTAAGAGATTTTGCACTCTCATGACCCAAATTGTTATTCCTTAGATTCAATTCAGTAAGGTTACAATTCTCACTTTTCAAAGCTTCGCTAAGAGATTTTGCACCCTCGTGACCCAAATTGTTATCCCTTAGATTAAATTCAGTGAGGTTACAATTCTCACTTTTCAAAGCTTCACTAAGAGCTTTTGCACCCTCATCACCTATTTTGCTAAAAGAAAGATCCAATTCAGTAAGCTTACAATTCTCACTTTTCAAAGCTTCACTAAGATACTTGGCACCTTCATCTTCTATTTTAGCATTACTAACATCCAGTTTAATAAGTTTACAATTCTTACTTTTTAAAGCTTCACTCAAACATTTAGCCTCTTCCGCAGTTAGAAAGCTTTGAAGAATAAAGAGTTCAGCGTATTTACAATTCTTACTTTTTAAAGCTTTTCTAAGTGATTCTGTATTTTTATTGGCATAACTGTGAAAGTGAACATCAAGTTCAGTAAGTTTACAATTTTGACTTTTTAAAGCTTCAGCAAAAGATTTAGCACTTTGTTTACTTATATTGTTACCACAAATCTTTAATTTAGTAAGTTTACAGTTCTCATTTTTCGTAGCTTGAATAAGTAAATTAGCACCTTGATCTTTAAGTTTATTAAAACGAATATCCAATTCAGTAGTTTACAATTTTACTTTTAAAGCTTCACTAAGATATTTAGCACCTTCTTCACCTATATTGTTTTTCTAATTTCCAATTCACTAAGTTTACAATTTTCACTTTTTAAAGCTTCACTAAGATGTTTTGATATATCATTAACAGACAGGAATTAATTTTCAAAGAAAATACATTGCATGCTGTTGCATTTGTCAAATATTTTGACAATCTAACGACGCTATGATTATCAGGAAATTGGCATGAAAAAAACGCGAGTTTTCTTAATTGTCGGCATTCAGAGAGAAAATCAAAGAAGGCGTTTGAATCAAGAGGCGTGAAAGAAACGTTATCAATGGATATTGTTTCAGAAAAATTATTTGACTCGCAAGCTGATCTCATCTCATCGTCGTCTTGTAATTCGTAAAAGCACTTCATTCCAAGAAAACCAAGTGCTTTATTACCCTCAGAGAAAAATAAATGTGACATCCAACTTTCTAACCTGTAATTATAAAAATATCGTATTGTGAAACTTTTAAGAGTTTGGTTTAATTTGTTTAAAAAAATAAAGCCCTTCAGAAAAGCATCTTGACATGAGAAGTTTTTGTAAAACAACTATGGTAACAATAGCTAGCTATAATCTTTTAGTCGCAAATTAAAATAAATCAGATAATGCACACAACGTTTACCAAAGCCAAGTGCAAATTAATATTACATGAAAGTAAAAACTCCTTGCTGCTTCTCAGAACAACCAGTTCAGTTGCGTTGGCAGCGTGATAGTTGACTGGAAGAGGTTAGAGAGGTCAAAATTTATTTAGGCATGTTTTAATTAGTTAATTCGCCAAAAACTTTCATTAAAAAACAAATTATATCTGTATGTCATGTATGTACTAAAATGGGCCTCACAGCGCCACGGAGCAAGTTTATAAGAAGCAAAATATTTGTAATTTTACTTTAACAGTAGAACCTGTATTAAGCGGCACCGTATTAAGCTGTCACCTTGTGTTAAGCGGTTATATGGCAAAGTTTCCTGGTGCAAATACTATTAAAGTGACCTTTGTTAAACGTTCATCTCTATTAAACGGATGCGGTCACCTTTTCCAATGTGCTAAGCTTATTTTTTTGTTTTTTTTTGCACTTGTATTAAACGGTCAGGTTAAGTAGGTACACCCCATAATAAAATATATAATTAAATATTTTTGTTGGAACATATCACTTATATTTTATACATGTCTTTATGTTGTATTTATCTTCCATAAAATGAATCAAAAGATCCAACAATATTTTCTGTTTGTGTGGACAAATACACCAGCAATTTAATGTTTCTTACGTCCCTTCAGCCATTGACAAAAAAACCTATCTCCAAAAAAGGGATATAGGCACGGAATATATAGGTTATAAACACCTTCTCTGTTGACACATGCTTGCCAATGATTATTTTTCAGCAGTTTGAGCCGTGACATTTTTATGTATACTATTTTTAATTTCTAGTTAAAACTAAGAAAAAAAGTGCTTTATATAGTGTTGTTAATTGGCATGTTAACGAACAATACCGATTGGTCAACTTTAGTTTGTTAAATGTTACACGTAGCCCGTTTGGTGACTTTCCTAAAGAACTATAATAAACGGTCAACTTGCAATAAGTGGTCAACCTGTATTAAACGGTCACACGAGAAATCCCCATTTGTGACTGCTTAAAACAGGTTCTACTGTATATAGATGTAAAAGAGATTATTTGTCATGTAAAATTATAGCTACTTTTATCTGGATCGTTTTGCAGGAATCTCTATACACAAAACTTTCTACGACGTTTGTCTCTCTTTCAAAAGCCTTTTTGTTTAAAACTCATTTTCGAAATATGTGTAATTGCATATAGTTGTAATTGTTGTAATTAAATGTGATATTTACCCATAAGTACAAAGATCATTCCCTGTTCTCAACGCCGATATTAAAAAACAACACGTACATGCGTTAGCCTACCTTAGTGTTCTTAATGGCAATATTTAGTCGACAACTTTTTTTCATGCACAAAGAAGGCCTATTATGCTTTGGTGTTAACGCGTATAATATCGATTGAAATAAAAAGGGAGAATGAGGTTTGGGTCCGGCTAAATTTTTTAGTGTGCGAAATATTTGTTCAGTGAATTTTGTTCGAAAATTTTGTACATGCTTCTACCTTGAATATCAACTCAAACTTAACAAAATAACATGAGCCCCAAGGCAGCCAATGGGCATAATGGCGAAAATTCTGAGCCTACAAGCAACTTTTTAGAAATTGCTCAATTTGTCTATGATTTAGATCATTATTTGTTTTAAAATACAATTATCCACTACTAACATCATGATTTTGTTGACTAAAAATTCTGATAATTTTTCCTTTTTTAAAGCTTAAGTTTCTTAACTCCATATTGCCAGGCTTTTAGCAATATGTGTTTCCTAGGCATGCTGCGTAGCCCCAAATTTAAGAAAAACAGCCAATTAAGTAAGTATCGTTCACCATTTCAATTAAAAATGCTACTAAACTGTTAGTTTTATGCACATACAACGCTTACAAAATATGATTACCACTTGATGTAAAATGCCGGAAATTACACTTCCGAGACGTTGAAAAAAAAATTTTCCAGGTGAGTATGTCCCCAGACCTTCCAAGGTTGCTAAAGCTTTTGGCGTTTCTTGAATTACGTTCCAGAAGTCCTAGTTCAGTCCCTGCTGGGTAGCAAGTAATTTCTATGTGTTGATTAGAATAATTAAATTTGTTGTCGATTGCTATTACCGATTAGCGTTCCCAAATCAATGGTTTTACGTCAATGATTGCTTTTTCTGCGATTAACTTACAATTACAACTGTATGGGAACAACGCTTTACACAAAAAAAATCGGTGTTTTTTTGTATATATATATGACATGATAGGTTTAAAGAAAGTGTTATTGACATACTCATTAATATACGAGGTTTGAGTAAAACGTTTGTGGATGAAGATCGTCCCGGTTCGTAGAGTTCTGAGAAGGACTGTTGGTATTGATGTAGACTGACGTTTCGACAACCTTAGCGGTAGTCATCTTAAGAGTCAAGTGTGGAGTAAACGTCAGGATAGCCGTTTTTGTTATCTGGTTCTTACGTCATCGTATTGTGTGTACATAAATTGTTTTGCAGTGTGTGTTTCAATTGTGTATTGTTAACGTGGATTAGTCTAAAGTTATTAGTTAGTTGCTTCTTTTTGTTTTGTGAATGAGCCGTTTGTAAGGAGCCGGTAGTTATTGTGATCTATTCAGGGGTTTTTGTGTTAAGTTGGTCTACCAACTTTCTAATGTATGCCGTTGTCTATAGTCAGTGCTGTAAGTAATACATTTAGATCACAACAATTACCGGCACCTTAGAAATGACTCACTCACAAAACAAACAAACAAGCAACTAACTCATAACTTTAGACTGATCCACAAAACAGAACACAATTGAAACCCACACACCCACATTTCCTGTACACAAATTACGACGCTGTAAAAACCAGATAATAAATACGCCTAACCTGACGTTTTAACACGATACTTGAAGAGTGTTTCTACAACTAAGTTTTAATTTAAAGTTATTTTGGCCCAGTCTTGTTTGTTCTTCACTTTATCGCTCGTCAGACGTGGTGAAGCTGCCAATTTTTATCGAGTTTTGCATCCATCTTGTATCATGATCAAGCTAAACTCTCCTGATTTGAATTGAGTTTACCTCCCAAAATTGGGCAGAATTTGTTCTTATTTATTTTTAAAGATGAAGGAAAGTTTAGAACAGAGTTGTGTTAAAATTGAATGCAGTGCCATGCAAAGTTAGTGAGAACTACGGTATATGCTGTATAATATAAATAACTATTAAACTACTTGCCTGCTCAATTTGACTGACTGTATAGTGTAGACAATTATAATGGGTTTGGAAAGTTGGATTTATGCAAACAGTTGTAAATTACTACTTTGCGTTTCTGTAAGTGAAGTATTTATTGTTATAGTAAACAGGCTACTACTTCAAAACCAAGATAAAAGAAGTGTGTTGAACAATGTGCTAAGATTTGCTCCTACCTTGAAATTTTTGTTCAACAATAGCTTATGATTATATCATTAATATGCATGAAAAATTAAACATATTGTTGTCTTATCTCACCAAATCCATACTTGGTATGATTCCAGCTGATCCACAAATTCACATCGGATACATTGGTTACAATGAAGTTGAATGTAGTAAAAGCAAAAATAATTGGCTTAGAAATACTGTGTGTCTTATGAAGAATTAGTACAAATCAATAAAAGAATTCTCTAAACAAATTTAAATTGCTCATGGTCAAGCAACCTAGTCAGAGAAGCAAAGTCTGTCTTCAACATGTGACATTTCCAATTATGTTTAGTTCTTTGTACAAAATACTATTTTTGAGAAACTTGATTTGTAAGTCTTTCATTAATATTTTTTTAGCAAGAGATAAAAGAAACAAATTCAAAGGCGTGATGGAAAATACAAAGATTTATCAAGTTGTTTATCATTTTATTCCCAATTGTTAGTTTGTACATATAAATAATTAGTATTTGTAGCTGTAAGTTGTTCAAGCAAACAGAAGAGTAGTAGTGCTTAAAAGGGTTAGCATTTTTGAAAAATTATATCTTGTTTATGACATACATTACACAATTCCAAAAGACTGTAAGTAATACACAATAATATCTATAGAACTTGATAAATTTCTTCGCCTACACTGTCAATTAATTATTTTGCCTTCATGCAGCAATAGACAGAGTGTTTTTGTCAGAGAAACCAATGCACTTCAGTTTCCAAATTTGTAATTTCAATGGAAAATTAATGTAGTTCTGTTCAGTAATAGACCCAATGTTCTGCCAAGCAGTTTACAAAATACAAATTTCCAACCAACATATAATGGTGTTTTGAATTTTTTTCTTTTTTGTAGCTCTTCTAGTTCAACATACTTTCTTTATGAGTTTTCAGTAGATTTATCAGGTAATGACAATACACTTATGATACTTATCCATGGTAAATTTCAGTTGACTTATGTCGTAGGACAGAAGCAAACATTTTCTTGCTTCCTTAGGAGCATTTTAACACAGATTTATCCATTTGAGCAAGAAAAATAGTTGCACCAAACTGTTTACAAACAGTCAAACGCATGCACAGAAGCATGAAAAAAAGTATAAGCTTGACGAGATTGATTGACAGGTCTACTAATGAATGCCGTTTGATTTTCACTTTTAAAAGGTTAAAATGTCATAAAATAACTTAAATGTTACGGCCAATATATGCGTTTCTCTACCGTCGATTTTCTTTATTTTGATGTGTGTGTGTGCTGTGTTTTTCACGCAATGCTGAAGCATTATTTTCACATGGTATGCTGTCGGTATCGTAATTGTTTTTTTTCTCACTTGTTCTCGTTCATATAAACAGTATTAGAAATCAGGAGGGAGTGAATATTGAAAAAAATTATTAAAGTGGAAGTTTTGACCAACAAAATCCGCCATTACCGCCATGTTTTTGACCACGGGGTCCAGGCCCCTTTTCCCCTCCAGGTCTTATAGAACTCAATTGTCGTCGCCTGCAAATTTTGAGTAAGTTAAAGGCACGCGTAAGCTTTAACTCAGCCCATTGAAGTAAATATATCTGTAATGCTAACTCCATTGAGTTCTATAATAACTGGAGCGGCTATCTCAAGAGCGGCTTTGAATATTGTATGACGCCAACAAAATGGAGGATTTTGTCCTATGCCGCTGAGATTTACCGAAATTGACAGCTTTTTTGAAAATTCCGCAATTTTCCACTCCCAAATACACAAAATGCATATTTTTATTTCGGATTCGGCAAGCAATTTTTTGATGAAAATCAAGGTAAAAACCTTAAATTCAAAATTTGTGTTTTAAGTTATAGCTTACAGCTGTTGGCTTGTTGCTGTTGTTCATTTTGAAACTATTTCAAAAATAGTCCTACACTTTTGGAACGTAGTGTTTGGAGAATCCACTAGATTTGTTTTCTCATTAGCAGATTTTTTCACTTAATGTTTTAACGTAAGGTTTATTTTATGGGCTTTATATGTATGTATCTTAGTGTGCATTATGCTGAAGTCTTTTATTTGCTGATTAAATAACTTCCCAGTGCATCCAAATACTCTAATGAAGTGCAACAACTCAGGGATCTACATTGGTCTACATCCGCAAACATGCAAAAACCATGTTGAAGTATACAACTAACGCTCAAAAGAAATAATTTCTTCCAAACTCTACGCGACAGTCTAGTTTAAAACTTATCGAGGAGGCGTTACTTCAATATTTGCTCATCTGCCTGGCAAAATTAATGTTAAGAATTTGGTGATGATGAATTAACTTAGAAAAAATACATCTAGTCACATACAATATGAAGATACAATCAAACATTTTCAATGATACAAATGCTCATTGATCATAAGTTTAATACCTCTCTAGAATAACGCTGATATCTTTTCCCTTCTCTTTCTTTTCACTTCCAACCAAACCAGCAGCAAATTCGATTACCAAATGCCATTTAGGATCTTCAACATGATCATCCAAAAACTTTCCAATGTTTTGCCAATCGTCAACAATATACCACGCTGCAAAAAACTCTTGAAGAGTCAAATGAAGAAAACAGTAAAGATGGCGTTCATCATCATAAATCTTATTGAAAATGCCACAGTTTTCCAGATTTTTAAAGTTACTGTTACTTTTTCTTTCAAAAATCAGGCGTCCGTCTTTAAGCCCTTCCATGGCAACATATTTTATTTCTTGTAGATCTTTATCAAGCTCGGATGGTAAAGGAATTCTCAAGTAATCCTTTTCTGTAGTCTTGCCCCTGAGAAGGGGATGGCTTTGCCATAGTAAAACTTTAATTGCTCTATCGTACAATTCAGTGATAGTCTTTGGACTATAGTTTTCATCATCTGCAAAACATTCCTTTAAGGTCATACAAACAATTTTAGTGTTAATAGGGATGTAACAAAAGCTGCGAAGTTCAAGAGAAATTTCAATCTTATTTAGAATACGGTCAGTGATATTCCTATCTTCATGACAAAACTTTTCCACGAATTCTTTTATCTCATCCTCAAACAAGCCCAAGATTTCAACTGTCCTTGCGAATTCCATATCTCGAAATTTATGTTCAGCTGTGGGTCGTGATGTAATAAGAACAGTAACATCAGGCAATAGTTTACCTTCAACAAGCATACTTAAGTGTGTAATGACGGCCCTTTTATCATTAGGGGACCCTGAGTCGTCAGTTCGAAGATCTCCATTATCTAAAGGCAATTCATCAAGACCGTCGACGACAAGAACAGTTCTTTCAGGATTTAACATTACAAATTCGTAAATATCTGAAAACTGTTCAAATGAAAATCCAACGCAACTCTTTAACATTTTTTCAAAAGTAATGTACTTCTCTTTAATCGCACGACATTGCAATAAAATGACCAACTTATCGCGCCAAAAGTCGTCTTCATTTGTCTTCCATTCATGAATAAGTTTTTTCGTCAACATAGTTTTACCAATTCCTGGCCTTCCAATGACTAAAATGGAGCTAGGATACGACTTGCTATTTGGAATTGACTTAAAAATGTCAGTTGCTCTTGTGAGTTTTTTCGCATTTTCATTAAGTTTGAAATGACTATGAAGGATCTCGTGCCTTTTATACGTTTCTGGGTAAGCCTTACTTAATTGTCTTTCTGCTTGCATTATGACGTTGACATAAATATCTTTAAGATTTTGGACAGGCATTTGTGCATTGCCTACGTTATCGTGGATATTAAATAATTTGTTCAAGTGAAGTTTATTTTTTATTTCTTCTATCCAATTTCGAAGTTCTGCACGTTTTTGGAGTATGTATACCGTGAAAAACTCCTTATCTGATGTGAAAAAATTATCATTACGTGCCTTATTTAATAGGTATATTAGCTGACATATCGTCATTATTATCGATAAAACATCAACAGCTACAACAAATTTAATCCACCATTCACTGTTACCATCGCGAATTTCACAGTTAACAAATGTCTCGTTATATGGAAAAAGAATTGTACTGTTGAACGAAGAGTTTTCGTTTGTTGTTGGACGCCACGAACAAGAATATTCAATGGGAAACATGCCTGGAAACAGTACTGTAACAAATCTAGACAACCCGATCACGCGTACAGTCAAATAAATGATGTAATAATTAAATGCCCAAGAACTAGTTGCAACCTTTCTGACTTCACTGCTTCTTTCTGACAAGAACTTATCAAAGTTTTTAAGTCGATTGCTCACAGACAGTCCACAGATCATACCCCAAAAAAAGAGAAAAAAGAAATTAAAGGACACCACATATATATTATCCCAAGTTTCATATTGGTATTGTCTCAAACATCTTGATTCAATATTCTTTATGAGAGAAATTTCTTGGAATTTTGAAATCATCTTGTCATTACAAGTAAAAGAAGTTTGACGATCAAATGTTTTCGAAATTCCAGGAGCGATGATTGTAAATGTGAAATAGATATAGAGCAGTATTTGTTCAAACCAGGGAAAACAATTCAGTGGTATGGCTCTGAAAATAGCATCCATTTTCGTATCCTTTAAAAAATGGATGAAATAGACATGACTAATTTAGTTTCAACAATCCCCGTATAGACATAGACCACATTTGTAAGAGCATAAACTGCAGTATGAAATAATACACACCATTATTTGTGGCTTCAGTTAGCTCCACACAGTTTGGCTTCCAGATTGTATATATGAACAATTTCAGCCTATATTATAGCAAAAATGTATAATTTGGTTGCAATATTTAGTAGCTATGAAAAAAATCCAGTACATGCAAGAAACAACAATAGTAATAATACTATAATAAAAATTTTAAATTTTAGCAGGTCAATCTTGTAAGTTTAAAAAGTATAGCTGTTTTTATTAGAACAACTGCATTCAAATTATTTCAGTGAAATAAAAAAATTACTAGAATTTATGCGATAGAGTTCCATAATAAAAAACATTTAGGATGTCCAAAAGGTTAAAAGATAAAAAATACGATAGTATACACTAAAAAATTACAAATTAGTTTAGATTATAATATAAATCATACTTAAAAATAATTTACGCTCGTCCTTGAATCTTAGTAAAGGTATGTAAAGGTATTTCTCTTCTATAGCTGTATGAAAGTTAATTACTTTAGCAGTTTCGCAATATAAATGTTCCGGAAGATATTAGGATTATTTAGAAGAATTTTAAAAATCAGTTCGATAAGGGTAACTAATGGGTTTTGTTTTCCATAGCACCACTTTTAATAAATTTTGTAAAAGCTTAAAAAAATCTTGAAAAGCTTAAGTCACATAACGTACATTGATTTAGTTATACGATATCCTAAAATACCTATGATCTGTTTCTAAAATACTTATTTTAGAATATTGTGAACTCAAGCAAATAATTAAAGAAATACGAAGACAAATGTGGCGTCAGTTATAAAAGATCTGTAGTTTGCAAACAAAACGTCACAGAACGTCGAACATACAAAAGTTTTGATGTTTTTGTCGTCGCTCACTGGCATGGCCTTTCTATATAATTTTTATTCTGTGAAAACGTGTTTTACTGATGACGTCATAACTTATTAACATGGCCACTTGAAAAGTTGGCACATTAGGTCCGTATTCAGCAATAAAATTAACTAACTTTTAGCGAACTGAAAATATTTATTTATACATCAAACTAAATCTAGCATTGTGGATTTTTAGTTACAGAAAAAAAAGAGGCGATCAAACACTTTGAACAAGGCAGATGGTCAATCCGTTTGTACTCCTGATGATGACCTCGTGTACCTGTGGATTTACCCGAGAAACGTCACGATGATGCACACCATGTTCATGAGAGTGAAAAGCTCACAACTCAATTGTCTGAATGTTCATATGAGTCCATGCCTTCATTGTTTATTAACATCATTTACCTTGATGTGGCCACCTCGTTCTGACTGGCTGATAATGAGGATGAAACAAGTATTGAATGCGTAATTACTGTGCATATGTGTAGATTATCACACAAATCTACACTTTGTGCAGATTCAACATACTCTTTATCTACAAGAGGACCGATTTTAAGAGACTGAACTGCTAACTTTTCTCAAAAAATTCCCTGAAGAATTGTACCAAAGGGTCTTTGTTGACAGCTTCACTTGCCAAGGTGATGGGAGCATGCTACAAATATCTACGCTATCCTTGAATGAGTTTGAACAGACTCCCACTGCGTATAATTTTATAAATCTTAAATTCACAAATTGAAAATGACATGAAATGCGGTAGAGTTATTAAACTTTCATAACTTTTCGTCAAAATTATAAGTAGTATACAGAATGCAAGAAGTTCTGATACAAAATTTGTCTGCGGAATCATGTGTTTAACCCTTTAAGTCCCAAGTTTATTTTAGAGAAAAACAGAAATAGCGAACAATAACAAAATAAAGTTATAATAAAAGCTAACATTTACTAAATTACATACAAATCATATATCAATTTAAAGCTAATATAATGAAGAATTTAATTGTAGTGTTCAAAATAGGATTAAAGTCGTTTCCATGGCGACACAAGGTGTCAATTACCGAAGTGATAATATTTTCAAACTAAAACATTCAATGTAAAGATAAAGTTCTCGGAATATTCTTTAGCTGTAATTGCTTACTACTGCTAACAAAAAAGCCTGTATGATAAGCTTTCAGATGATGTATAACTTTTCTTATTTAGATACTAGAAAGCTCAAATAATTGGAAAATTGCAATTGTACTGTGCCAGCAAATATAGCAATAAAATGAGAAATAATTTCAAAACTATCTATGAGCTTGAACAAACTTATAACTTATAAGTTGCACTAACTTAGGGTTTTATTGCATAAAGTGTGTAATTTTTAATACCATGCTTATATTTACCAACAACTCTGTCGGAAAAAACTACTGCCTGGAGTGGAAAATTTTAGAGCAAGGTGCTACAAATAGTCCCACGTCGCAGTCTTCACAGAAATAGGAGGTCCTTTTCGGTTTTTCTTTTGTGGAACATACTTTGCACCTTCTTTCCTTAGTCTTTCCTTTGCTGTTGGATGGAAGTATGCTGGGAAAATGTATATCCCGAAATCTAGCAGGCGATTCAATAGCTGGTCGAACAGCATGTGTCCGAGAAGAAAACTCCCCAATAAGAAGTTTGGAGACTTCTAGGCGGAAATTCTTTGAACTCCTCATGTTATGGTTTGATGACAGCCTTTCCAGGATGTGACTGTTTACAATGCATCTGTGCAGTAGTTCAAGAAATATTCTCAGCCACCATTTCTTCCACCTACAGTTGATACCATAATATGATTTCATCTGGTCATTCCCGCCAACTCCACCCATTGTATGATACAATGATATTTGAACATCATCTGTATTGCCATCCTTCTTTCATCGCTTTACTGGAATTGTAGCAGTATCAGATGGTATTGCTTGAGATGAAGCCATATTCACAACACGGTTGTCCATCCATGTTACCGCAGTAATGGGTCCTTTGAATCGAAAAACAGATTGCCCTTCCGAAGACAATCCTTCTGGAAGAATAGTAGCAGGACCAACATCTTGTGTAAAAGCACCACGTTGTATTTCTCCCTCGTATTCATCGTTCGATCATTTAGTGTTCGAAAAGTTGTATGCCAGTATTTTGCCAGACTGAGCGACCGTTTCCTCTTCCTCATCAGTTTCAATTAGGTCGACATCATGTACGTTGCTGAGGATTTCTACTTGTTCATCTTGCACAGAAGACAGAACTTCAACATCAGGTTTCGATAAGGCAGAAAGCTCGCAATCAATATCCGAGCACACTCCATCATAAGAAATACCATAATCTTGCTCTAGGACGTCTACAACTTCGTTGAATGTCACGCTGTTGGGTTTATCCGCCATTGTTTATGTCTTGCCAAAACAAAATTTAAATCGGCAAGATCAAAAACTTCACAAAAAATCGCTCAAAACGAGTTTCGTAGACAAACTATACATCAAAATGCTCGCAAACACCTTAATTGAATGGTGAACTTTAAAGCGCATGTCCGGCTTTTGTTTATGAGTTAGCTGGGCAAAAGAAGCGCTGTCACATGCATTGAGTTCTATAAGACCTGGAGGGGAAACGTAAACAAAATTACTATAAATTATCAGCGCGCGGCCGCGTGGTCAAAAACATGGCGGATTTTGGTTGTCAAAGTCAGCGGAAAGACGCGGGCTCATAAAATGAAATTTTTTTCGCCCACCCGGATTTGACAACCACAATAGCGATTATATAAAATATCAATGCCAAACACAAAAAACTTTTAGAAATTTTATCTTTAAAACTTGTTGCAAACTTGTTTGGTAGACGGATGCTGAAGTAATGCCAGAAAAGGAAACATTTCATGATACCGGTAAGCAACGTAAGATTGTTTACCATTTAAAGTGTTCAGTGTTTTGTTTTAAGTCAATACTTGAAGTGTGATTGTATATATTTTGTGAATGTTTTTACTCCTAAGTTATAATTTAAGTTATGTTTATCCATTCTTCTTTGTTCTTTACTTAATCGCTTGCTAGACGAGGCAAAGCAACCAGTTCTTATCGAGATATGCATATCTTAAAACTCCTTGTTTCAACTGAGTTGAAATGGAGGATTTTTTCATGATATTTTTCTGAAAATATGAAGCAAATATTAAGGACAGAGCTGTATTGAAATCAAATGCAGTGCAAGATTAATTAATGAGCTCTTTGGTACATGTCGTACAATAAAAAAATACCTGTATTAAACAGCTAGCCTGGACAATTTGACAGATTATGGACAATCATGATGATGGTGTGTAATGGTTTGCTTTATGCTAAAAGTTTTATAAATGCCATCTGGTGTTTCTGTAAATGAATTGTTTGTTACACAGTGTAGTAAACAGGTTAGTACATCAAAATCAAGATAAAACTACTTTGTTCAATAATGTGCCAAATTTTGCTCCTACCTTGAAATATTTGCTCAAGCAAAGCTTATCATGACATGCATGAAACATTAAATACAGTACTGCATCATCTGACAAAGTCCATATGTTTTCAATTCCAGGTGATTAAAATTCACATAAGATGCATTGGTTGCAATGAAGTTGAATGTGGAAGAAGCAAAATTGATGACAAAGAACTTTTATGTCTTTTGAAGAATTACGATATCATTTAAAAGAATAAGAGTAGCAATCTAGTAAAAGAAGCCACATCTGCCTTCAACATGAGACTTTTCCAATTATGTATAGTTATTTTGTACAAAATACTATTTTAGATAAACTTGATTTTTAAGTCATTTACTGATATTTTACCAAAAGACAAAAGAAAAATTCAAGGCATAATGTAAAATTCAAAAATTTGTCAAGTTGTTTGAACCTAGAAAAATTAGTATAGGTAACTGTAATTTGTAAGGACACAAGAGAAAAGTAGTGCAAGAAGGTTAGCATTTTGAGAATTAATAAGTTCTTGACATACATTACACAAGGCCATAATATTATAAATAATGTCTGTATAATAACAATTATACAACATGCTAAATATCTTCACCTACATTATAATTATTTAAACAGGTTTGCCTTCATGCAGCAATAAGAAAAGTGTTATGTCAGAGAAACCAATGCACTTTAATTTAAAAATCGTATTTTCAATGGGAAATTAATGTAGTTCTGTTCAATAGTAGATCCATGGTTGTCAATGACAATCCAGTTACTAATATCTTGGCTCAAAACAGAACCAGCAACATGATTATAGAATTTTTGAATTTCGTTCTTTTGCTCTCCTAGTTCGAGATATTTTCTTCATAAGTTCTCAGTAGATTTATCAGAATATCATAATACCTTATAAGACACCCAGAATCAATCCTACCAAAAAACTCAAAAAATACATACCTACTTATAATATATTTCCAGTCGACTTAAGTCGTAGGGGTAAGCTAACTTTTCTAACTCCTTTTGGACATTTTAACTAATATTTACCCATCTATTCAAGAAAGACAGTTGCACGAAGCTGTTAAAAAATAGTCAAAAACACAAGTATTGCGCATGGGATTATGCATTAAAGCTTAACGACACATTGACAGTGTAAAGAATGCCGTTTGATATTTATTTCTAACATAGCTAAAGCATTACTTGACAACATATACGCTATTTTACAGTAGATTTACCTCATTTAAATGTGTGTGTCTATTTCACAAAAATCTGAAGCATTATTTTCAATATTTTATGCTTACGGTATCGTGGTTGTTTTCGCTGGTTGTCATTGATATAAGCAGTAATAGAGTTCCGGATTCGGGAGGGAGCGAATGTTAAAAATTTTTCTCAAAGTGGAAGTTTTGACAACCAAAATCCGCCATTACCGCCATGTTTTTGACCACGGGGTCCAGGCCCCTTTGCCCCTCCAGGTCTTATAGAGCTCAATGGTCACATGGTGCCCGATATATCGGACACTGGGACTTAAAGGGTTAATTAGCTACAATTATTCATCATCCACCAAAATGTATTAGTTTTAGCAATTAAAAGTGAACATACAACAAATATCTATGCTATTCTAGAATTACTATGAAAAGAATCTTACTGTTCAATGATTTGATATCCTTCACAAAATAGTTGTAAACATTGTGATATTAGATGTATTCAGGATATGAGCTTTCGCCCATATTTATTACGCCACGTGTAAATTCAATATGTGATTTAAATGAAGTCATGGCAAAGCAAAGTCACCATGAAAATGTGAAGATGTGAAACAAGAGTTTACGCTGACAACATGTATGGAAATATTTATCGAATTACGTGCAAGGTTCACACACGTAACTTAAACAAAATCACATTTGGCTATTGTTACTTGGTTTATTTATTAGCTACATTTGGCCGGTATTTATAGTATTTCCCAATATTTGGTGAATATTTTTGTTTTATTTAGTAAATTTCATAAAAGCACAAGTACAAATCAAGAAAATAAGAAACAATTTCTCTCACCTATGTCCGATCCTTTTTGTCTGTACGTTTAGGAATAGGTGGGACTTGAAATTCTTTACCAAACACAGGCTTCTTTCAAATCTCACTATGTAGCGGAAATGATAAAAGCAAAGAAAACAGGATCTTGTTATACTCTATGGCTTAGTTCAAACGGCGAACTTCTCATGTGCCGTGCCAAATTATTATTAAGTTCGGCAGAGCACGGCAAAATAGGAATTTGATTCAAACGTCGATTTTAATTCAGTCGAACTTAATTCCTTCATATGACCTTTCGTTCCTTTACGTCAGCGTTTATACAACGCGCATGCTCAAATAAATAGCGGGATTTTCAATATGGCGAAAACAAAAATAGCACAAAGACAGATCATTTTTATGCGACATATGCTAGAGCGTGCCAAAAATCGAACGAGAATGCTTGATTCTTTTATTCAGTTATTGATTAATAGAAGAATCATGGCAATCAGAGCTGCGATCACCCTGATTCTGTGTTTATTCTCGCAAAACTCGCGTTCAACATCAATAACGCCTCGATCATGTCGGAGACTTGCTAGAAATAAAGGATGGTGGAATCTTGTTTGGGTTAACTATTCTGCAGTGAGATTCAAGAAAACATTTAGAATATCTCGAGAAACGTTTCTGTTTATTCTTGCTCGCCTAAGACACGTACTCGAAAAGAAAAACATAGTTGAAGAGCCCATTCCTCCAGAGGTTCGACTAGCTGTTTGCTTGTATCGCCTTGGAAGAGGAACATATTACTATACAATTGCAGAATTGACTGGGCTTGGTGTTTCCACCGTATGTTCTATTACTGACGAAGTTTGCAAAGCCATCGTTAAACATCTCTGGGACGAATTTGTCAAACAGTTAATGCCACAATCTGAGCAAGATTTCAAAGATTCGATGATTGATATGGAACACTTTTGGCAGTTCCCTTGTTGTTGGGCAGCCCTTGATGGTTGCCACATTTCTATAAAGTGCCCACCAGGTGGTCAGGAAGCATACAAAGAGTATCACAACTTTAAAAACTTTTACTCTATTGTTCTTATGGCATTGGTTGACTCCCACTATAGATTTATTTGGGGAAGCTGTGGCTACCCAGGTAACTCACACGACTCTATTATTTTTCAATCCACACAGCTGTGGGCTCGTATTCAGGAAGGAAACTATTTGCCAGCAATTGGGAAAGTAATTGGTCAGCAAACAGTCCAGCCACTTATAGTTGCTGACTCTGCTTTTCCATTTACCAAATGGCTTATGAAGCCTTATACAGATGCTGTCCTTTCTGAAAGGAAAAGGTATTTTAATTACAGACTAAGCCGTGCACGAATGGTGACAGAGGGTGCTTTTGGACAGCTTAAAGGTAGGTGGCTTGTGCTGTACAGAAAATGTGAAAGTAATAGAAAAAGTGTCAGAATGACTGTCCTGGCTTGCCTGGTCCTCCATAACATTTGCTTAATGAAGAAAGATACTATCTCAAAAAAATTGGATCTTTCACAAGACCCTGGCAAAAGTGAAACGTGAGATAGAGATTCAGTAAGAGAATTGCTACAAATGAGAGCATGTCCTAAAGTCAGGGATACTTCCAAAGAAGCAGCTGATATAAGAAATGCTTTGGTGGAAAAACTTTGGTTGGAGAAGGAGACTGGAGAAGTGGTTTAATTTTTTTGACTTTTGAAAAAAAAAGTTCATTTTCATATATTCAACAACACATTCATAAAAAATTAATTTTTTGGTACTTTCTAATTCTCAATCTTAACTAATGTGATTATATAATGCTTTATTGTGCACGAATAACATTTGATTTGAACATTTTGATAATATAACAACATAAAGTTTGTGTAGCAATTAGTAAAAAATATCTTTATTACTTGAAATGTCATTATCAGCAACACAACTGAATTATAAGAACTAATTAAACATTGCAAGTGCATCAGGCCATAATATGTTATTTTTATTCACATACATAATTTCTATAAAGATTGGTATTGTTTGAGATCATAGTCTGAATGACTATTGCTAAAGTTTGGAGTGCCTGCTGAATGACTTTGGGTTGGTAATTGATACTGCTGAAGATTAGCTGATGAGTGGATATTCGGTTCTTGTTGAAAATTTGGTATTGGTTGAAAGTTTGGCATTGGTTGAATATTGGGTTGTGGTGGAAATGGTGAGTTATATTGATGTGGTGACCAGGAATGATGTGCACCATTTGATGAAGTTAGACAATTAAGAAAAAGCATGGTCATTTCAATTTCATGCTTTCTTGCTATTTCAGCTTCATCTTTCATGAAGCGTAGCACCTCCTTGGATGGATCATTGTCCACCATAGTGTTTAAAGTGTGTCGCCGTCGCTGCGCGGTAACGACATAGCGACAGCGACAGTGTGTCTCAGCCGTTATTGTCTGACGTTGTTTCAACTTCGGTTAGACGTTAAGATGGACGTTAGATAAAGGTGATTTTTTGGTCGCAGCTTCGTTAATGTCTAACGTGATATGAACGTTGGTTAAACGTTACGATTAACGTCAATTGATGTTATTTCATGTTTACGTAGTGCGTTGCATTTAACTTTGTACCAATGTCGAATACAAAAACTACGTCAGTCGTTTTTTCTGAACATTGATATCAATATGAGTTCGCTGTATCAGCGTTAATAAAAAATAAACTTTAATATATAGTTTGATAACGTTATAACGCGAATGCGACCCATACGACGCAGTTGGCGAAATATGCAATAAAAGAAACATAAATCGCTGTAGACGTTAAGAAAATTTGCGGGCTCAGAATACTATTTTGCAAGTGTCTTCTGCGTACTTCATTACAAGTGGCACGTCGACTTTAGCTATAAAATTTTTCACCCAAGAAAGAATATATAATTGTAGAACACATTCAAGAACGAGCTGATCAACGTTTTCATCGTAAGTACGTGCTGTTTTAATTTTATTTGAATAAATACAGAACTTGGGCAAGGAATAATTCAACATGTATATTCCATGGTTGACGGTTGACCCGTTTCATTTCATATTCTTAGCGCAACTTTAGCAAGAAACGGTGTTTTTGGAGCAAGTGCTGCTATATTGTAACGTGATCAAAGTAAGGTGAAATTTTATTTGTTTAGATATTGTAGTTATTGTTGAACAAAGACAATGAGGAACAATGAACGTTTTATAATGCCATTGTCGATTTGCCGTTACCGTTGGTTAAATAAAGCATACAATTTATTGTTTTTAGCCACAAATAATACAAACAACATCTTATTTAAGTAATTTGGTGAGTTGATAAGCACAAAAAAGCTTTAAAATTTAAATGATACAACTCGACAAAGGATGGTTGAAATGTTTATAATGGATTGATGATAAATGCGTAAAACAACGAATTTGTATGTTACTTTGCTCATGTAGCTTTCTAGGCTCTTTGAATGATTATGACATAGGCAATTTGTTCTCATTATTAAGAAAGGCCAATTTTTTTGATCTATAGTGATAAGGCCAATTATTGATCGCCAAAATTCAGAAAAGCCTGTGGGTTATTGGCTTATTTCTGTGCACATTTATTGAATATATTTTCATATTTCATACACCTTACTATAGCCTTAATTTTCAATTGTTTCGACAAAAACTTTGTTAATTTTTTTGTTTTTTTATAACATTAAACTCAAACCTTTTTATGATATATACGTCTGTGTTGATGATTAATATTTTTTAACATGGGGTTATGGGATTATGTAATTTACAAAATGTTTTTGATTAAGAATCACCCAGCCTTAAACCTTAAAATAGTTGTAGTTTCTATTGCTAATCACAGCAGTTTTTAAACAGTGATATAATTTTACAAAGAGGTAATTGAATGTTTATTCATAACAATGCATGGTTGCTTTATAATACAAGTAAGTATCGTTTGTCCAATTATTGCATTCAAGACAATATGTAGTTTACAACCCACTTTTTTTATCTCTTAGATTGGTTCATTAACTTAGCCCATTTCTTTAGTAAGCTGGCAATTTCAGTTAAATTATTTTTGCATAGTTGCTTCAGACATTTTCCATTTCCTGTTGTTAGCAAGTAAACTATAATGTTATACTTAAAATTTTAGGGTTATGTATAAATTAGGTATGATACATGCATGTAAAGAAGAGAATAAGTTACAAATGGTTGAGGAGATATATAAGTTACCATGACCTGTGAATGAGACTCATCATTTTTTGATTAAAACATTTTGCTAAATGTTGTGATCACCAGCACTTAGGAGGAATGGGTTGTAACATTAGGATATGTTTAAATCAATCAACAATAGAGTGACAGTTACATTTTATTATTTATTTAAGTTCATATCATAATGAAATGTAACCGGGGGCAGTACAGAAAAAACTGGACTGCTGCTAATAAAGCTTTAAGATGCAATGCCTAATGGTGATAGCTGTGAAAGAATGTTTTTTATGCAGTGCGGTGTTTGAAATTAAATGAAGATATGATCTTCGCACTTTGCTGGACAATTTAAGCAATTGTCTCATGAACCTGAAAAATTCAGGTGACTCAACGGGATTCGAACCCATGACCTCTGCGGTGCCGATGCAGTGCTCTGACCAACTGAGCTATGAAGTCACACAGTGGTGAGCAGGTCAATATTGTTGGGCTCATGTTTTCTTGTGAAATGAATGTCATATGTAAGAATGTTTTTTATGCAGTGCGGTGTTTGAAATTAAATGAAGATATGATCTCGAACTCTGCCAATCTGAAATTTAATTTTTATTTACTTTAGATGTCTACTGATACATATGCAGTTGTAGAATTCCTTGATAAGAAGTCAGTTGAAGTTGTTCCCAGAAGTTGGATTGAAGCATGTGATGGTATAGGGTTTGCTTTGCATTATTGTTTTCATACAATATTGTTCAATCATTCATTTTTATCTATGTGCTCGTTACTTAAAGTATGTGCTATGTATATCTACTTTGGAGGATTGATATAAGTCACAATCATATGCTATAATATGTAAAGGACAATGGACTCCCATAGAATGTAATATGGCATATCTTAAAGATCTTCCTGAGTTTATACGTACAGGTCAATGCAACTATTTTTCATTTAATTACACTTTAGCTTTTGTGTTGCTATTGGCCGAGGACAAACGTCTCAGCTATTGTAAAGAAGCTGGAATTGCCATACAAAAATGGTTGGAAAAAACATAAAGTCAGAATATTCACATTTGCAGGTTAATATGATGTCTTGTGATTATAGTATGAATTTTTCATTTAGGTTACATTTGTTTTGGATTTCTATTTATTTCCATTTTGATTGTAAATAATCATTGCTATGTCTGGTGTAGGAATTTTTTATTTTCAGAATTTTTTATAAACTTGCTGCCAGCTGTTTAACATTTTCTCCACTGAAGCCTCAAAAGTGCTATAAACGATTTAATGCTCTGTTTTCTAAATTTAAACCTTTCTTTTACTTAGACAACTTTAAAAGTGCCCAAAAGTTTGCTAGAAGAGTCATTGCCACTTCAAACATTAAATGAGATGATGAGTCAATCAACGACAAACCACGAAAACGTCCTCGTCTCAAAAGGAGTATGGAAGAATTTCCAGATTACAGTGACATAGAAAGTAGGTTATATAGTATTCTAGATATTTCTCTCCGATCACAACAACTTGCGTACACAGTAACACAGAAAAGTGTTTTATTTCTACTGTTATAACTACCTACGTGCGTATATGGCTGTAGTCAATGAAGGGTCGTGTGTGCGAAACACAATAAGTTCTTTGATTTTGGCTATGTCTTCTTCCTTAAGTTGGGAAAAGATAGGATTAAGACTGAATGTATTGCCGTAGCTACTTAAATATTACATCTTTGGCAAGCATTAAATAACCATATTTTAGTATTTTTAGTATAGCTTGAGTACTCAATAAACATTGTTATGCGATGATCGGGTATTTTTTCTCATCAGACAATGATGACAGTGATGAACCCGTAATTCAACACAGAGCCCTTCAGTTACCTCCTGCTCCACGTTACGCATCTTTTTGTATAAACAATAAGCATTTATTGGAATCTTCTGAAAGTAATATGATAACAGCCGTCAATGAAATCTTATCTACAAATTCTAGAAGTAAGTACTGTAGTTGCAATGCAATAGGCCATTGCTTTATTCAAAAGAGTGCAGTTTTTCACATAATGCTACGTTGCATTTAAATGTAATTATTGATTTTGCTTTTTAGATTTGCCGGTGTGCAGCGAGCTGATCTCCCTTGCAGAAAAAGGTATCAGCGCAATTATAATCCTTGTAAAAGTGAACAATTTTTTGACAGAAACATGCATGTATAAAATTTCTCTTTTCATCCTAATATAATGTTGATCTAGATTTATATAACGGTAAACTAGCACCAGAAATCCTAAACACAAAGGATCATGCAATAACTTCCCCATCTACTAGTAAGACACCATCTCAGCGTAGTGTGAAGTTTTCTGTCATCAGAACTGACTAATCCGCAACTTTCATATAATATGTCGACTAAAATGTTGAAATAATTTTGATTGATTCTTTTTAACTAACTTTTACATTCGTATTGTACATTTACTGTTTTTCTACGCCCATCGTTGCATTATAGGGCTTATGTATGTTATACAGGTGCTGTAGGCGTTGGTCCTTTAAAATGTTGTTGTAATTAGTTAAAAAAATGTTAGTTATAGTTAAAATTGCAGTTTTGTTCACACCACGATTTTATCAAAATACATTCGTTCAAATCTAATTCTCTGCGTTTGCCATCAAACTACTAAATGAAACTTTCTCGAGGTTTTTTATTTTAGTCACCTTTCTGTTGCTGACTTTTGAAACTTGTAGTGCCTTAATTTAAATGACGTTCGTGCGTGCAATAAAGATATATGTTAAACCCAGTACATGTCTTCTCTGTAGATAAAGGGCAACGTCTCTTCACAAGGAATTCTTACAACTGGCACAACAAGAGAAAGACATTCTCAACAAAACAGTGGTGTCTTAGGCAGGCTTTTCTTACAATTCATTATTGCATGTTATGTTGTTACGTTTTCATTTACGTTCATTTCGTGTCGTTTGAAATTTTTTTTTTCACAACTGACTGCAACACGTGATTGCTTTGCAGATGCGCATGACCTTTCATCGCACAAAACGCCTTCGACAAGTTTCATGAACATAACACCTGCAGGAAGACGTTCTCAACCAAACATTAATGGCATCTCTTCTACAGTATATAGCTTTTGAATAGCGTTGCTATTATGTATGCGTATTCAATTAGCAATTTGATGCGAGATTTATTTGAATTTTCTTGTTAGCATGTTGTAAGGTTTTATATTTTTAAGATATTACGTAGGTTATACATTAGTTATTCTATTATTTTCTTATATATCTTGTAGGCTTCCAAAGATCAGTTCTCACCAAACTGGAAACATTAATTGATAAGCAAGAAGAATATTGTGTCAATATTGCGTGCCTGTTAAGCGCTACTAAAGGTGTAGACGAGCACGAAATTTTGGAAGATGTTGTACCTAATCCCTTTGATTCGGTTGAAGAACTTGAGGACCTATCCTCTAGTCTTAATGAAGAAAAGTCCAGAAGAAAGTTGGTAAGTTTTGGAAAGTTAACCATCCATACGTATTTAGTAATATTTATCGGCACTGCCTATTTTTTATGCATGACTCTTTCAAGTGTTACGTAAAAAAATGTGACAATGGAAGGCATAGCCCTTCCCCTTTATCGGTTTAGAAAGGTGAAAACGATAGTTTCATTTGCAATTACGTAACATAATTTTGACTTTTTTTCTACCATTTGTGTTTGAAGCTTGAAGACATGCACGCTTGCCAAAGTCTGAAACGTAATTTTAATGACGATTTTCGTGACGTTAGGGGGTCAGATTATCTGATTAAACTATATGAATCTAGCATCGTGTTTTTCGTGAGAGCTTTGTCGTGTTCTGATTGATTTAAATACGTTACGATACTTCAAACGGCTCTTAAGTGTGTCGTTTTATTTGTGCTGAAAAATTTTAACAAAGAAACTGGTCTTTCTAAAATCTCTCATCATTCACTTTGGATGGTTTTGTTTTGCAGTTCGAGATCAAAATGGTTATTTATATATGTCTAAATTGAACTTTTCCATATAATTTATCTTTTACTCTCTTTACTAGCTGCAGTTTTTGGTAGCACTGTGCGCAAACACCTGTGCAAACAGTGTTAGAAGAATTATGACGAAGCTGGGAACAAATAATCTATGGTCCCAATATAGTTTAAAAGGCAGAAAGTCAAAGCGACCATTTCAGCACCTTGCCCTCTGCAAAGTTATAACAAGTAAGCACAATTAGACAATAATGATTGCTGCAGCAGTACCATGTTTTGTCTTTTTTTCTTGTTCATGAATTGGAAAAACAGCCATTTATGTTGCTCCTTGTCATAAGAAATATTGTTGCAAGTTTTAAAAGCTAATACATTAAACTGTTTTGCATATGTCACTATAATGAATTGTTGTTTATCATTCAGTTTACGAAAATGATTTAGTGTTTTATCTATGCAATTTATTGAAAGTATGTCTTTTCTGTTTCGTTTTACTTGTTAGAAGCCTGCCTCAGAGCTCATAAAGGATGCAGCGAGGCCAACGTTGAAGATCAAATTGCCGAATTTTTAAAATACGCTCCAGGCAAGCAAGGTGGTTCCAGATTTAAGGTAACATGTCATTATCATCATAGATTGCTGGGTAAAATATATCGATGCCATTTTTTCTTTGTTTGATTTTCTCAACTTAGACAGGGAGAACTCAACTTATTTTACTCTGTAATTTCACAGTTAGCATATTTGTATTTTCCTGTCAGTGTAAGTTGAGAAAAATACACAATAATATTATTGGCATGTGCACTTAAAGAAAGTGAGCATGTGTCTTTCAGTGTCCTTTAATTATAAGTAAAGCAAAATGGAATGTTTGTATTAAAAGAATAATTGTTTTATTATTTATATAAAAAAGCAAGTGTTAGTTAAATGTGAAAAAGGTGCCGCAACGATTAAAGTTTTGTTCACTTGTTTTGTTTCTCGTGCGTATGAGATGAGTTTGTAGCTCGAGATAATTTCTTATATCCGACGTACGTACGTAGTGGCATTCATATAAGTGGATTTATTCGATTGCTTTTAAGTGAATAAAACTAAAAAATACTTTGATCTATATGTTTATATAAATTAAATTAAGAAGATATACATACAGCAGACGATTCAGTTGTCTATTTAAATGGCATCTTTTACAGACAAATATGGCAATGTTGTTGTAGGTGGTAAGACATATAAAAATGATATATAGACTACCATTTTCTAATAATCATATATGTTATTTTCTTGCAGGTCAGAAAAGGCAACTTATTGGAATCGGCTTAATTAGCATTTTTGTAAATATGTGTATTAAAACACGCACAGCAAAATAGATGAGTTAAAAGTTGATTATATGGAAATTAAACTTTAGTTTGTATCATTGGAAAGGCTGTTTTACGATTTCACAAATAATGCATCAGAAATTGTATGTTAAATGAACGTCGGATAAACGTTGTATGAACGTTGTATGAACGATGTACAACGTTGAAACAACGGGATTTTGCTGAGTCAATATTGAATAGTATTAAACAAGAATGCTATTTTACTAATAATTCACGTTTAAAGCAAAAGTTTGCCGAAATTTTTACAAAGCGTTATCATCTTGTGAAGAAGATAAGGTTTAAAGTTTTTGTAGTGAAAAACGCTATATTTGTAAAAACATCTATATTTTCTATTGCGATCTAGCGGAAGTATCTTGCTGGAAGGCGTGTCTGCTTAGAATTTGCTTCAGAAAGGTGGGAAACACAAACATCAAAGTTTCCGACACGATTGGGCCTTCTGCTTAAGAAGATATCTTTCTGTGGTTTTAGTTACGCAACTAATCATACCCTCTCGCTTAGATTCAAGGTCTGCAGCAGGTTATTCAAACACTATGATGCTGTAGCACATACAACATAATATGAATATTTGGACAAGTATACGGTTGTTTCATTCTGCACAGCACATTCATATACAATTGGTTGTAACGGTAACAAAATAAAGTTTGTAAAGAAATCCGAATTCAATAGTCAAAATATCACTTTGAATCTTTTTCTTAAATTTTATTTTGCATCGTAAACACGACAATAGTCTGCAATATTTTAAGGTTACTACAGAAGGTGAGCGTTTTTTTATTTCATCGTCATTCTTTCGTTGTTATTTGCATTCACTCAACGTCATTACAAAATAATTGATTAAGCATTATGCAATTTTATGTAAAAAAAACTCTCCATGCAATTTCGACGCAAGTTACCTACACAGTTACTTAATTATTTGACTGACTACGTTTCGTGCAACGCAGTTAAATTTAAGAGTTATGTACGTATAGTTAAAAAAGTAAACTACAATAGTGCTAACCGTGATTAAATAACTGTTGTCAATACAGTCGGTTAACATCGAAAAATTTAAAATGCAAGACCAAACATGCAGGCCAGCCAGCCTCGTACGCAGGCGCTTCACATGGCGTGCGTGGGCATCGCGCATTTGCATGGCTGTAACAAGCCGATTACGTGTGGAAGCTCCCACGCGATTCTTCCATTTTTTGTTCGCGCGTGTCGTCCCGCGCAAGCACGCACGCCGTGTTACATTCAATCATTCAATTTATAAAATATGAAATACCTCAAAGCAAAACAAGCCAAGCGCCTGGTTACGATGCTGCAGGCCAGCAACGCCACTGGAGTGGAGGTAATTGAATAAACATGGAGTAAAATATTGTCAAGGCTCATTCCAAAAAGTACTTACATCGGTATGTAAAATTCAATGTCATTTCCTTTCATTATTGGGCTGAAGTTAGATTTGTCATTCAAAGTTTTCGTTACAGAAAGAGTCAACTACGAAAAATAAACAAAAGCTCTTTTAATAATCACTGAATTCATACCAGTTCAATCATGACCCTAACACTTTAGATTTTGTGATAAGTAAGATTTCAAAGTATACTTTTCGTGAATGTTTGAATGTCTTATGCAGTGCGGTGTTTGAAATTAAATGAAGATATGATCTTCGCACTTTGTTGGACAATTTTTGCAGAGGTCATGGGTTCGATTCCCGTTGAGTCACCTGATTTTTTCAGGTTAGTAGTATAGTACATGGGGGTAGGGAATCAAAAAAAGTTTACTTTTTTTTATTCCATACACCGCTTCAATATATACTATATAATATGGGTAAAACTATCTTTATAACAACGCAAAATAAGACCATGGTTCAAAGAGACGTCCCTCTGGCAAAGGTCATGTAAAAGCTGTGTAAAAATAGTCATTGTTTCAAAGGGAATTTAAAAATCTCGAGGTTACAATTAATCGTTTTAAAATATGGAATCTATATGTTTTTAAAACGAGTCTTTACAAACAAATGTTAAAAAGCATCCAGTTCAAGGAGGAAATTCAGCAGCGCAGGCACTTTGTGCTCGAGGCAGAGGGGAATGGAAATTTCCGAAATTCTGGAACAGGTTAGGGGAAAATTTTCACGAAGTGAAAGGATTCAGAGGTTCTTAGTTCGATGAATATTCGAAGAATATTCGAAAGAATAGCACAGAGCTTAAAATGCTCTTCAAAAAACCGTCTTTAATAATCAAGTGTTAATAATCAAGTGTTATTAAAATATCAGTATCAGCGATAGCTGGTTTTGTAGCGGCGCGCGTGTCTTAGTGCATGTTTTCAACAATGGTTGTTTAATGTAACCAGCACATTTCATCAGCGCATGTATAATAATACAATGTTGTACAAAATATGGAATCTATATGTTTTTTTAATTTGTCTGTCAAGCGAGTGTCATATAATTTTTGTTAAAAGTGTTTTTAATAATTGTTTCAGGATTTTGAATCTTTTTGTATATCGCTTTTGTATTAATTACTTATTACAAACAGTTATGTGATATGTAGTCAAACATGAGGAGCAAGTATGTATGATTTTACTCTAACAGAGGCCTACGCTACATGCTTACTACACATTATAACTGTATATTAAAATAAGTTTTAATTATCATTTAAATAATGACCATAAGCTCTAGTAGTTATACCATCATCTAATATATACCGTTTATCATCAAAACAGCTAAGTGATACTTTATTAATTTCATAACTACTAAGTTGATGGTTTACACTTCTAATAGTTTTCATTGTATGATGTATTTGTTTATTTTCAAATAGTGTTTGTTTATAGTCTTCATGTTTTATTTTGTTTTTAATAATATTTTTCTTAATTCCTTTAGCTTTTTTATCTCCTTTATTATTGTCTTTAATATAACTATACATCTTACTTCTTAAACCAACAAATTCTTTAACTACTATTCCAGAGGCTTCGTCTTTCATTTTACCAATAACCTTTTTATTAGTCTTATCATGATATTGTGAATTTTCTGAGTAATCGCTAAAATCAAATTTATCTTTATCAGCCCAAAAATCTTTATAGACATCTTCAGTTTCGATTTCATATGTTAAACTATCTGTGTCTGTGAAAAGAAGTTTAGCTTTATCATCATACCGCTTTTTGATATAGTTGTAATGGAAATCATACATTAATACTTTAGATAGATCTAAAATACACATACCTACATATGCAGGTCTGTTGAGCACCAATTGTTCTTTGATCTTATGCACAGCCACAAGGTTTTTATTGAAAATTTTACTACTTACATAAGTAGGTTTTGAACTTAATTTTAATAATTTATCTTTATTAGTTACTAGTCTAACATCTACTCTTTTACGTAAGATTTCCATCGTCTTACCAAATACCGAATTATTCATTAATTTGAAGAAGTCTTTTTCAAAAGAATTTTTTGCATTAGTTCTTTTTTGAGTATTAAAGTCTATGTATTTTTTCAACCAAGGAGATTGATTAAATTCAAGTACTCGATGTACTTTTTTCAATTTTAACCCGAGATCTAAATATAGTTGAAGATTTCTATAATGTAGCACATACTTCTCTTTATTTTGTAATGTAGGTATTAATTTTGAAACTAAACCTGTTGATATATTGTAATTAGAAGCAATTGTCTTACAATATTTTGATAACATATCACTAGTGACCTTAATTTTTTCGGGTGCTAATGGATATGAATTATGTAAATCATGTAATTCTTCAGGGTATTCTAGATCAACTTCTAAAATTAAGCCTTTTTTACTATCTTCTTGATATTTAGCAAGGTTTATGTTGTTAATCTGTTTCTCAGTTAACCATTTGAAACCACCAGTAGGTAAGTTTTGTGACATAGCCCATCCATATAAATTGTTTGCATCAAGATACATTATATATTTTGAGGGTTTATTCTTATCAAATGTTTCCATATACTTGTTATTAGCCTTACCATATCGATTAGAAATATAAGAAACACCTCCTCTCATACCCTTTTCAATAAATTGAAACATATCAATATCTGTCATTAATTCTAATTTAATATCAGTCATTTTAAGCATAGCATCCCACGACAGCCCAGGAGATGTGAAATAGTGGCATGGGTCTAATTTATAATATTCAATACATGTTTTTCGAAAATTTTCGAATACATCTGCTAATAATAAAACGTCTGATTTCAGATACAGGTCGTGATAATCACCCATGTTTTTGAGATTGAATGTATTCCACACTTTTTGTGCATGGTTATAAGAATCATCTGAGATATTTTCATCAGTAAGAATACTATAAAAGTCTTCTTTTGAAGGCAACCCCTCATAAAACTTTTCAAAACTATCCATATAATCATATGGGTATATACCTTTTTTTGTCATTAAATTAAGTTTTTCACCTTTAAACTGCTTAGAGGTGTATTTAAACGATTCTTTAGGTAGGTTACTAACAAGCTTTTCAAGACTAGAGCTCATAAATTGAAAACTATCAAGAAATGTTAAATGGTTACCTAACATGAAAGCCATATATTTTTCCATGTTATTAGGTATACAATTTATATTCATATGCGTTTCCTCACCTTTTTTGTTTTTGTATGTATGCTTATTAACAATAGCTCCGATCTCTTGCATAATAAAATGGCTGTCATATCCACGCAGATTGTGAAATATTACTGGGATCTTTAATTTATCAGAGTCTATTCTAAGTTTTAAATTCCAATCTTGATGTGCCGAGCCTCTATATTTTCCAGTAATATGGCAATGGTCTCGAACTCGAATATCTTTGTTAGTATTTTTTTGTTACAAATATGGCATTCATCAGCTTTTTTAAATTCTTCTTCATCATAAGAGGTCATTTTTAATGGTTTATTAAAGTGGGTTTTCATAATATTTTTACAATATTTAACTTCTTTTAACATAGCTTCCATAAATTTGTAAACAGCCTTCACCTCTATATAGTTGAATTTGTTTTGTAAATTGATCATCATAACAACAAACAACTTTATATCCATAACCACAGTCAGTATGTTTCTGATAGGCTTCTGTATATGATTTTTATTATTCTGATTACAACCAGATATCTTTTCTGTAATAGCCTCAAAGTCAGCATATATGACAAATGGTACTGGTTGTTGCTTATGATAGTTGTTGAATTAAGTATGTTATTATTTTTATCAGGCATTCTTACTGATTGTATACCATTTATTAATATACAGTTTTCTATATGGTTATTTAATATTTTTCAGAACTAAAACATTGAGACATCTATACAAAATGTTTCCTTTCCTTATGCTTTGTTTGATTGTACATAAATGCATTAAAATTTTTATTAATATATAATGTTTGTTTTCATTATCAGTTATCAATAGTAGTTCTATATGGTCTTTAAATTTTTCTTTTGATATATATAATGGGGATATGGTTGTTTATCTTCATAACAAAAACATTAATGTTAATTTTGTTTTGCTTTTCGATTTTATTATAATGTTTAACAGTTACAATTCAATCCCAAAATAAGTCTAATTTGTTAATATATTCCTTATCAGATTTTTTAATCCTTTGTGGGTATTTATTTTGTGGGTTAATATATCTAATATGGCACCATAAAACATTCATTATCTTTATTTTGATATTTATCAAACCCTTTTTAGAGTTTTTAAGTTCTTGAGGGTAAATTAATGTATGAAGATCCTTATGGTAAGTATTTAACAACATTAAGATAATGATTATCTATAGATTGAATAACATATCCAGAACCTTCTTGTGTAAATTTATCAATCTTGTTTAATATATTTTGTTTTGAAATTTGTAGGATTCAGTAATATTAGAATTTGTAATTGTTAAAGCTGGACTGTTAAAATAAGCAATTTTGTTAAATGATCAACATCACCATTATATTTTATTTTTAATTTTTCAAATGTTACCTTAAGCGTTTCAACAAATTTTAATCCTTTCATTGTTGTTAATATTTCTTTAATATAATATGTAAGATACTTTCTTGTGCTCTGCATTTTTTAAATGGTGCTTTTTATTAATAATGCTTATTTCATTATGATTTAGTGTATCCTTTAAGGCATTGTTTGTTTCTCTTATTTTAACTCTTTGTGTTGGTATTGGTTTTTATTTTATCTACTAACATCTGTGTATTATTCTCCTCTTTAACCATATCTTTTTACACTCTTTCTTGGTTTTGGGACTGGTGTTAATACTTTAATTAATTCGTTTTTTTCTAAGTTTATAATAACCTTTAACCTTTTTTCTTTAGCAATAACTTTTTAACTGAGGATACAGTCATTTTAAATTTTGATATTGGATTGTGATAATTACTTTTTGTACTGGTTTGGAA